AACACTATGTTAGCAAATCCAAACGCAACAACAAAAAAGCTTTCCTTGCTGTTAGGATTCATTACATTATTGCACAAAATAAGAGGTAAGGAAAGTAATTAGTTACATTGAAGATACATTCTGGAATATATGATAACTTAGGGTAGGCCTTTGATAGATTAACCATTAACCTGCAAACCAACTTCTGCTTCAAAGCACCCAAAGAAATCTCTGCAGGAAAAGGACATGCAGAGCAGATGCCCTGATCCTTACCCAGGAAATCGGAAATTAGGTTAGCTCAGGAAGACTTACATAGATTTCAGTAGTATTTGGTAGTGGTAGTTAACACAGCTGCAATGATGTAAGTATTAAAAAAAAAGTCATCTCTTACTGAGCACTTATACATACTAAGAAGTACTTTTCATAATTCACTTTTCACAATAAACCTAAGAAGTAGGTACTTTGAATATGCTCATTTTAGAAATGAGACTGAGATAAACAGAGGTATCCAATACTCCTTTCTAAGTAAGTGACAACAGACGCAGCCCAGGCCTTCTGGCTTTTACTCTTAATCTCCACATGTACCTCCCCAACCACCTTAACAGAAGCTAAAAGATGAGGCAGCCAGCATTCTGTTCATACATCATAACTACTCAGTCATTCTGTTAAGAGTTTTGCTTCTCACTCTTCTCTAAATGTTCTCTAAGTTCTTTTTAAGTCTTAGACTCATAAGTAGAAAATGTTTCTCTCCTCATCCCCAATCCACCTCCACTACCTGTCTATTGGAAAAGTTAACAGAAGCTAAGAAAAAAAAAATTGTAAATAACTGACTCTGCAACTTAAGAATTTATATATAAAAAGACAGTGACCATGACGACCATATGACCGGTCACCATGCGTGCTAGCATAGATGCACAAACACAGTTAAGTCTATGAATGAACTAAGAATGAGCAAGTTTGCACTGTAAGAGAGTTAGGTCAAGGATGAGAATTCAAAATTGCCACTAGCACAGACCTGAGGTGCCACTTCTCAGAGTGACCAGAGATACACCCCGAAGAGGACTAGGTTTGTGACTGAAGGGCTGGCGACAACATGAAGGTGGGACCATTCTGTATTTCCAGAGGAGCCAATGCTGACTAGGAGGTGGAGCTTTTTACACTGACTGGCATAGAAACCAACCAATCAAAACCTAATCTGGGTGAACTGCAAAGGCAGAACCTAAGGTGAGGGCTGAGGAGAGGTTTTAAGGGCAACAGCTGTTTGAGGTAAGGTGTAAGAAAGCAGTTCAATTTTTCAATAACTGGTTTGGCAGCATAGTGCATATGGCTGGCTATCAGTTCAGATATAGGGGTTATGTATTTTTTGTCTGCCAACATCTCCTCCTGCTGAAAAAAGCTTCCCCCCATTTAAGCAATTCTATCCTATATAATTTAGCTATACTAATAAAAGGGTAATATGTTAATTAGACCGGGTCAACCAGCCATCTTCCGGACATCCAATTTCCTTCTGGACAAAGCCATGGTGGTGGGGGACAAGGCAGAGCAGTTTAGGGCAATCAGATGGGCAGAAGAGAGCAGTTGGGGGGCAAGACCAGGCTTGCAGGGGGTTAAGGGCAATCAGGCCGGCGGGGAAGGGCAGTTAGGGGCGACCAGGCCAGCAGGGGAGGGCAGTTTGGGGCAACCAGCCCAGCAGGGAGGGCAGTTGGGGGCAACCAGGCCTGCAGGAGAGGGCAGTTGGGGATGACCAGGCCGGCAGGGGAGGACAGTTGGGGGCATTAGGCAGGTGAGTGGTTAGGAGTCAGTGGTCCTGGATTGCAAGAGAGATGTCCCAGATTGGAGAGGGTGCAGGCCAGGCTGAGGGACACCCTCCTTTCCATGAATTTTGTGCACCAGGCCTCTAGTGTAATAATAATTATCCTTGACCAAACAGTGATAAAAGTATATTCAAATACACTTGTATAACCACAAACCATACAGTTTTAACTAAGATTAGGCATAACTATTTCATTTTCAAATATCCTCATTACATAAAATTGATGCAAATAGGATTAGTAATTCTATCAATACTAAAAAGATATATGTTTTTACTGCTTTATCTTATAATAATGTGAGATCAAATATACTGTATAAATAGACAAGTGCCAATAAAAAGTTACACTTTCAAAAACTATGCACGTAGGTAGGCACTTCCTGGTTTTCTGAATGCAGGATTTATTTGAAAGAAATATAAGTCACTAATTACAAAGCATAAAAGTAGACAGAGAAATTTAAATAGGACCATGAGAAACAGGCAAGGTCACATGCAAAAAAAAAAAAGTAAAGGAAAAGAAAAAGAAAAAAGAATACAATTGCAAAGAGTCTAAATGTTTTCTGAAAACATTACATTATAGGTAAATATGTTCTGGTTCTAAAAAATATCTACACTGTTAAGTTTTACTACCTAAGACAATATTTAAAAAGTAAAGTCCATAAAGATCCTTTTATAGGAGACAAAATGCCAACATTTACTTGAATACTTTTATTTTACTCAAACTTTTTTAAAATTTCTGTTTACCTCTCAAAAATAAGTTCAAAAACATTAATACGTGGTCAAATTTATACAAACACTGATAAAAAAGAAAATCTGTGCATTTAGTGACAAATAAAAGCAGCATATGTTGCATCAATTAACTAGGATTAATTAAATCCTAAAATTATCAATAATGTTTAGTTTTTCAACCTTGCCATTATAAACACAGTCACATACACATACACAGAGAGAAGGGGAAAAGATCAAACCTAATACAAGAAAGTAAGACCTTCTTACTGCTTTAGTCAAATTAAATCACAAATCAGAGTATATAATATCCAGTTTCCCATACAATATTGTCCAATAAAAATATTCATAATTCCTAAGACATTGCAAGATCCCCAATAAAATCCTCAGTTCAATTGTGATTAAAACATTATACTTAGCAACAAAGCAGTCACAGTTACAATGACTTATAATAAAGGCTTCAACAAAAAGTTAAACTTCAATTAGCCAGAACACACAATAGCCAAAACAAATTCCTTCATCTATTCTTTGAGAATTCCAACTAATCGGGGAATAAATTTCTTCATCTATTCTTTTAAAATTCCAATTAATCTTACATGTTCTTAATGACCTAATTTTTGTACAATGAAGGAGGAAACTGACTAGATAAGATAGAGTGGGATATGGATTTAATGCTTATTCAAATACACTCTAATGGTATGTTTGCTTTTAAAATTTTTCACATTCAGGAAAATGTCAGGCTAAAATTAACAGGGCTAAGGGGAAAATAGATTTGGAACAAACCATTGGAAAACTACAACCCTGTCACCAGGGCACTGACAAAAAGATTAATTGGTACCTGGGAAGGCAGGTCGATTAACTTGGCTGGAGGCTGCCAGAAGCATATAAAAACACATCAAAACAAGGCTAGGAGATACTCAACCAATAAAAGTGGAACCTGGCCCAGAGGGGCTGTTCTTTGGGGGGCCACCATTAGTAGGGCGCCACACAAAATAGGTAAATCTCTGCAAAGAAAATTCTAGGTACAAGCACTCAAATTTATTATTCTCCCATCAGAGCTACAAGTGTTTCTGCTGGAAGTTCAGTAGCCAAGCTTAGGGCTATTTCCTCTCCCCTGGAAATTGTAACACCATCTTCCCAACCCTATTACTGGTTCCCCTTGCCTAGGAAAACATCCCACATGCAGCAATGTAATTTTTGTGTTCAACTGGTGAAATTCTCTAATTTCTAACATATGTGAGCAAATCCACATCATAGAAATAAAAAGACTGTGCTTTAAATACTATATGTTCGCAAAGCAAGGCTAGCTATCCTTTTAATACTTTCTTTTGACCATTTTTCTTTTGGGTACTTCCTCTTTTTTATTTACATGAATCTCATAAATTACAAGAGTCAGTCATTTGTCAACTGTGTAACAAATTGTTTTTCCAACTGATCACTTGATTTTATGCTGAGGTTCATGAGTTTGGGAAGATTTTTTAATGGTTTAATTGTATGTATTAATGGCTTCATCTTTTCTCATTCCTGAGAGTCAATGCCTCACTTTTAGATTACCCATTCCAGTGTTATAAAGTAAATTCACAACTATTTTCTTCAAATAACATTTTTTACATTTGTCTTTAACTTATTTGAAATTTTAGCACAAAGTTTAAGGCAGAAATTCAGTATGATTTTTTAACCTACAAATTGCTATTAACTCTATTTCCATTTCCCCCGCTAAGTTGAATTGCCATTTTTATCATTCAAAGTATCAAACATGTTTAAATTGGCCCTCTTTTCTATTACACTGCTCGGTGTGGTTACAGGCTATGACAGGGAATATTTAACAGGCAGAAAACAGTATTGAGAGGTACTGTTTAAATACTCCAGCTTCCTGATGGTCCTGTCCTTCCTCAAATCATCATTTTTTCAGAAATTTTACCAAGTACATATGAAAGAAATTAAATTAGAGTACCTATCAAAAAGGAAGAAAAAAAGTCAGAGCAGGCTAGAAGGAAAAGTGAAACATTCTTTTGAATTCAAAGGTCCATAGGACTATACTTCTGATGCACTTAGGTTGCTTCTGATAACCATTTTATAATCATAAAGAACAGATGTTAACAAGGGTGGCCAAGTAAGCTACATCTAAGATTAGCAATACTTTGATCCAAAAAAAGCAACAGATGTGGATATTTGGATTTCAAAAGAACAAAGAACAAATAATTAAATGTTATGCTTAAGTTTTTCCAGAAATTCCAGTTTCCCTAATTACATAATCTCTATGTTCTACAAAAGCTTATCTAGAGGCTTAATGTACTAACTAGTAATTAGGCTGCTTTCATTCCATAAAAGTCTATAAACATCATTTCTAATGTTTTTCTTTACTATAGTGTTATAAAATTATAATAAATGAAATTAAAAGTCTAGATTTAAGCTAAGGGATGTAATAGCAGGCCTTATGTACAGTATCACATAATTGTGTCATAAATTTTTTCCGAATACTTACTTATTAAACAATGGATGTTATGAGAGTAGCGTGAATTGTCTGGGATGGTGAAGCTGCCATCACAGATAGCAACCTGACTCTCACCAAAAGGAAGAGTGAAGAAACAAAGTTTATACAGTAAGCATCCCAGTGCCTGTAAAATAAAGAAGCATGAATACCGTCAGAACTCAAATAAACAACTTAACCACAAGACATAAAAATAGCACTAAGCCAAAAACTAAATTTCTTATTTTAAAAGACTAATGGTTCTATACTGAATCAATCTTTTCACAAATTACTTCCTTAAACTAATTAATGAGTTTATTTGTTGAGAAAACATTTAACATATAATTTTCATTTTTTTCTATCACATCTGTGGATAGCTGGCTAAATTAATGCTATCATAGAACTCTAAATCATAAATAATAACTAAAATTATAAGTGGTTGGTCCCTTTGAGGAAAAAAATTTTTCTTTTTTATTTCTTTCACAGGGAAAATATATATTTAATACATAACTAGCATATTTAACTATATATTTAATACATAACAACCAACCAAGAAAATATAATGAACCTTCTAGCAGCATTTTTAAAAAATTCACTATAAAACATGTTTTAAAATCCTGGGATTCCAAGTGAATTAGCCAGCACAGTTAAATTTATTAGACACTAAGCGTGTTTCATTATTTCCTACTAAAAAAATTACTCTATTTTTCTGCATAACTCTCTGATCTTTATTCTATAAATCTACAAGCCTTAACTGTGTAAGGGGTATTTCTATTTATAAACAGATTGTACAAACTTATCCAGTAGTTAGTACACAATTTTATCAACAATACTAAAATCTGTCCATACCATCTAAAAATCAGCAAATCAGTTTTGCTTTGTTGAATTTTCTCCACATACCAACTTAGCAAATGCAACTAAAATATACTCTAAGCTTTATAACTATTATGAAGATCACAATACACAGAAACATCTGTGTTAAATAATATTAATTTACTAACCATTACTTTCAACATTTTAACAGTGTTCTAAGAAAAAAAATTCAAAGGCTCTAGAAATTTCAATTATCCATTCAAAGACATTACAGGGTTATTTATTATGTGATTAACAAAACTGTGAAGGTTCTACCCAGCCAGTGTGACTCAGTGGTCGAGCATCGACCCAGGAACCAAGAGGTCAGGTTTAGATTCCTGGTGAGGGCACATGTCCAGGGTTTTGCGCTCAATCTCCATTAGGTGGTGCGCAGGAAGCAACCAGCTGATGACATTACTCTCACACGATGATTTTATCTCTCTAACCCTCCCCCTCCTCTCTCTCAAAAAAATCAATAAAAACATTTTCCTTAAACTATGAAGATTTTGAATAGAAAAATCCAGTAAAATGTGACTTTAAAAAATTTATGTTGCTTTGTTTTATAGTAAGATATCTTCAGCAGGTATACAGTAAATTGAGGATAAGGTTCCCTTAACAATAATTTAAAAAATACTATTAATGATGTAATATCTCCATTAAATTACAATTTCTCCTACCCAGATGGCAGTATAGGCAAAAGGGATCTCCATTTTAGCCAGTTTTATCTCGTCAATCAGACCTTTAGTAATGTGTCATGTGTTACAGTAAATGCTGGGAGTACCCAGTGAACAGTTTTAGACAGCAATGTCAGTATACTTAAAAACATAAATCTAAAATACTCTGCTTCATGTTGTTTGAACACAATGAGGTGTCCTAGTTTTTTCACACCAAAGGCATTTCCCTCTTTATCCATTTTATATTATGAGAATTGTCAAAAAAACAAGAGAGAACAAATAACCTGATTTTAAAAGCTATCATCATTCTCCATTTTCCTCATCAAAAAAGGTAAGATGAAGCATCTCCCACCCAAAATGCGGTAGTTTACTTACATTTCACCTGAGCCAAGACAAGCATAAAAAAACACCATCCAAATTAAAGTTCTATCTCTGTCAAGCATATAAACATAGCTTCTGTTTTCTGATTATTTTTCTTGCTGCTGCTTTTTTTTTTTTTTTTTTTTTTTTTTTTAATCTTTGAGTATCTACAACCCCATAGTTATACCCAGTTAGCTGTTGGAGAAATTCTATTCCATATGCTATTTATAAATTATTCCTAATTTATAAATAGCATAAATTTTAAATTTATCACTTACAACTTAGTATGTTGCTTGGCATGTCTGGTGAAAAATAAATAAAAGAAAAAGATTTCCTCTCCTTTTCATTAAGGTACTGGGTAACCCTTGATTATTGCAAAACAGTATTGAGGTATGATGTCTGTTTCTTCTGTTGTTGAAATAGATTTTTAGGTAATAGAGATTTCAACAGCCAGTCACAAAATTAGGTCAGTAAACGCTTCCACAGTCACCCCTTTCTAGTACTTTCATTTTATCAATTCAGATCCAATTTAATTTGCTTTCTACATTGTACTACATGCCATTTAATGAGTCAAATGTTAATGCTGAGAAAAGCAAATTAAATTTGAGTTATACAAGCTTGTGTTCTGAAAGCAGTATCAAATTAAACCACACTTAATTCATGGTGTGATTCAATTATGTGTATGGCTAAAAATTCAACTACCACAAGATTTAAGAAACACTATTTGGTGAAAAAAGTATATATTATGTGAACAGATAAAAAGATATCAAAGCTATTCTTTTTTTTTATTATTACCTTGCAGGAATATTTGGATATCCCAACCCCAAAAAGAAGAGTCCAGAAGAAGAGAACCAAGAAGATATTCACTTTATTTCACACATTACTTTAAACTACTTTCTGAACATTATGTCTTAAAAACAAAATAAACATGACTTTTCTAGTAAAGTCTAGAACTATTTTCAAAGGATTTTTTCCCTCCATCCCTAACATGGTCACTAGTGGTAGATATAGCTAAATCTATATACTAATTGAAGTTAAATGAATTCACATTTAAAGGACCTCCCTGCTAGTTTATTAAATATTACTAAAATATAGTTTGCTTATGAAATAAGTTCTAAAGAGATACTGACATTTATATATATAAAAGGCATTATGCTAAGTGTCCGACCAATCACTATGATGCGCACTGACCACCAGGAGGCAAACGCTCAATGCACAGGCATAGAAACATGGAACAGATGAATCTCAGAGGGAAGGAGGAAGGGGGGAGGGGAAAGGGTGGAAGAGATTAACCAAAGATCTTATATGCATACTAGAGGCCTGGTGCACAGATTCATGCACCGGTGAGAGTCCCTCTGCCTGGCCTGCACCCTTTTGCAATCCGGGACCCCTCAGGGAATGTTGGACTGCTGATTTCAGCCCAATCCTCACCAGTACACAAACCCATGCACCAGGCCTCAGGTCCTATCATAAAGTTCAACTTTACAGAAACACAATCTATCTTAATAATTCAATCCAGATATATATGTTATGCTAATAATAATAAAAAAAAACTTGACATATATTTTAGTCAATGACATGTTTATAATTAGAAAAAAAGTTTTATGCAAGTTAATATATTCTAGGAAGTTATCAGGGTAATTACTCAAGAGTAATGTCCAGCTTTTCTATAAAGTCATCAACCAAAATTCCACTCAATCAAAAAGGTGTTAACATTCATATATAATCTAAATAAAAAAAATAAAGTTATATTATATGGAAGCCAGTTATTTGCTTTTTTTATACCTAAGCTTTCGTTCTCAGGATTAAGAAGATAAAATGTTCTATTTTCATCTCCTGAGTAAGAATCTCTACTATACAATACTTTTTTATTTATTAGGAAATACTTTTGGGGGAACAGAGGGCAAATAATCAATTGAACTCAAATTTTTAAAATGTGGCTAGAGAAAACATCAGCCTTTCTTGACCTTACCCAGATATCAGCCTTGGTGGTGATGGGTTTCCCTCCATAAAGGTTGATCATTTCAGGGGCTCTGTATGACAGAGTTGTATACCTGCCAGTAAATAAGTAAAATGAAGTGAAGATATAAAAATAAAGTAAAAAGATAGATACTACATTGTTTCTACATAAAATACTGCAAAAAAATTTCTCTGCTCAATAACATTAGATAAAAATAATGCTACTTTTAAAAGGCATTAAAAGTCTATCAAGGATTAAACAATACAAAACATTTTTATTCAACAAGTACATTAGCATCTATACTAATAAAAGGGTAATATGCTAATTAGACAAAGTGGACCAGCCTTCTTCCGGATGTCCAACTTCCTTCCAGACAAAGCCATGAGGGTGGGGCAGGATCAGGCCAGCAGGGGAGAGAAGTTGGGGGTGAGATCAGGTTGCAAGGGAGGGCAATTAGGGGTGATCAGGCAGACAGAGGCATCTGGGGGTGAGATCAGGCCAGCAGGGGAGGGCAGTTGAAGGTGAGATCAGGCCGGGAGAGGAGGGCAATTAGGGGCAACAAGGCCAGCAGGGGAGCGCAGTTGGGGGTGAGATATGGCCAGCAGGGGAGGGCAGTTGAAGGTGAGATCAGGCTGGCAGGGGAGGGCAATTAGGGGCAAGCAGGCAAGCAGGCAGAGGCAGGTAGGGACGATCAGGCAGGCAGGCAAAAGCAGTTAGGGGTAATCAGGCAGGCAGGTAGGTGAGCGGTGGGAGCCAGCAGTCCCAGATTGTGAGAGAGATCTCAGATTGGAGAGGGTGCAGGCTGGGCTGAGGGACACACACACACACACACACACACACACACCAGTGCACGAATTTCATGCACCGGGCCTCTAGTTTAAAAATAAAACTTTTAAATATTAGTTTATATGTTCACTAAGGAGTTTGTTTTCATGTGCATGGCAGTAAATATCCTTTAGTTTGTTTTTATAATTGTTGTTTTAAAAAATCTAGGTGCCATAATTTTAACTACACTAATTAAGTACAATTCTAATACTGCCATCATAAGCTATCTGAAATCATAAGACACTATGAATATTAACCAATATAAAAACCTCAAATACATTATGAACAGAATATTTTAATGAAGTAGTGCATGACTTTATGGCAGAAATTACCAAAATATGGAAGAACTTCCTGTATCATGGCATAATTTAAAATTCATTTTGACTATTTATAGGTTTTATTTTACATAAAGTATTCTTAAAAGTGAGCATTCTACCATCTTACTGATTTCAATGACCCTGATTGGTGGGACATTCTGAATGATAGAGAGAAGCAACCCAAGAAGCCAGAATATGAAATGCATGCAGGCAGGATTTTTGTTCACTGCTAGCCTGCAGCGCCCCCTTACTACTACCCTTCAGTGTCCATTATGCAGGCCCTAAATAAGTAGCTTTTAATTAAATAAATGATTGGGCCATTAACTCAACAGAGCCACAAAGCACACTCTCATTAATTTACATTCATCATTAATGCAAATTTCTATTAAACCTTAACTATACTTCAGATCTCAACAACAAGAAATAAAACCTAGCAAGTCAGAGGTACCTGAGCAGAATCAAAGCAGCCATTATATATCACAATCCAATCATTTTTTAAAATTGCAATCCCAAGAAGTCAATTCAATAATTTATTCTTCTTGAATTCTTCAGGACATTTATATGTTTACTAAGGAGTTTGTTTTTATGAAATCTAACATAATCACTATAAGCTAAGTTCTCTGGATAGAAATATGTAGTCTAGAAATCCATAGTGCTATACAACTAAGCCAGAGTAATATCAGCTCCACTTGAGCTATTTTGAAATATAAGTTACAGTTCAAATAATAACTCCTAGGTAGTTTAAAACAACTGAGAATATGTGAAGAAGTGGGCAACTATTTATAAATTTGTATTCTGACAGATTTTTCTGCAGACTGTATCATTTCATTAAGGTAATCTAAATCTTACAAAGAGTTCCATTTTTTAAAGCAGAAAAGTCTAAACAAGTAATCTAGCAACCGTGAAAAATATAAAAATAAGGAAACATAAAGCAGATATGAATAATTTTTTTTATCATAGAGCTTTCCAGTACACTATTACTAAGAAACACGTTTTCAATATAGTTTTCAATGCATACAAAAGTCAACTTGTTGACATTAAATATGAAATAAAAGTTTAAATGTTTTCAAATAATTTAATTTTTCCTAACAAAAACAGTACTACTAAAAATAAAGATGCTTAACTGAATTCAACAATCCATGAAAACTCCCTTTAATGGTTCCACTAATTACTACAGCTCTTTAACAACTGTCTTGATTAATGTGTTTAAAAAGTAGATTAAAAACTTGTATCCATGGTAAAATGTATTTCCTATTGAGCTAGATCAGACATAAATTAATCAATGCCTATGGTATGAAAGTATTTTGAAGAAATCTATGAATGAAATATCTAAAATATATTAGCAGAGCTGACCACAGACCCAAGTTAACTAAATTCCCTTAAGACAAATGCAATAAACACTTACTTTTTAATTTCTTCTTCTACTATATTCACTCCATCTTTTTGAGGATTAAGAAATTTATTAGTGGCACTGCCAAAGTCACAAAGTACATAGTTTCCACCATCATTCAACAAAATATTTTCTACCTTAAGAGAAAAAAAATCAATAATTAGTACTATTTTCAAAATGAAGATTATCTTTTTACAACCATGACCTTACACAATAAACATTGAAAGGTTTGTGATATATACATATACACATACATATCATATACTGTATATACAGTATATATTATATATATAAAATACCTCAAATTATGAGGAAGGACAAATGAATCAAGACAAAAAATATACTCTGCTATGTCTACTGCTTCTCTTACCAAAAACAGATAAGTGCTTCTCCCATCCCAGGATGATTTTTGCAGGGGGCAAGAAACCCCAAATAAATCCTCTCTAAAAGTGCTTCAGTGAAAGAGAGGAACTTGTAGAAGTCAGAGTCTATACTATACTACCATTTCTCTCAATTTCTGACACTTTACCTTATCTATAGACAAGCAATAACAAAAAAAAAAAAAAAATTAAAATTCTAACTCTGACTTTTAATACCATTTTTATATAAAATACTACATTGAGCCCTGGCCAGTTTTATTCAGTGATTAGAGTGCCAGCCATGTACTAAAGGATCTGGGGTTCGAGTCCAAGTGAAGATTCGTTTTCCACCCCTGGTTGGGCGCATGCAGGAAGCAACCAATCAATGTGTCTCTCTCACATCCCTGTTTCTTCTCTCTTCCTCTCTCTCTCTCCCCTCCCCACTCTTCTTTCCCTTCCACTCTAAATAATCAATGGAAAGAATATCCTCAGGTGAAGATTTAAAAAAAAAAAAAAAATACTGCACTGAAACACAAGACTTGACTTTATGCCTTAACTTGGAGATTAGAGTTGTAATAATTTAAGTAAACAAATTACATGCACAGTTTCTAGAACAGGAGTGTGTGGGTTCACAGCCCAACTTTGCTCCTCACTAGCATGCATACCCTTAGACAATTTGATTTACTACTCTGTGCATTAGTTTCCTATCTATAAAATGGGGGAGACAATATCTATTATTATAAAAAGTAAATAAATTCAAAGATGTAGATTGCTTAGAACAGTGGCTGGAACACTCAACCACTGTAAAATAAGTACTCAACAAGTAATGCCATTTTATTACATTTTTCCACAATATTTTTTATTTTTTCATTTTTTTAATATATATGTTTATTGATTTCAGAGATAAGGGGAGAGGGAGAGAGAGAAACATCAATAATGAGAGAGAATCACTGATCAGCTGCTTCCTGCACGTCCTCCTCCCCCCGCTGCGGAATTGAGCCCACAACCCAGGCATATGCCCTTGACCAGAATTGAACGGGACCCTTCAGTCTATAGGCTGATGCTCCATCCACTGAGCCAAACCAGCTAGGGCAATATACATATTTTTTATTTTTATGACACAGTCTTGGAGAGCAATTCAATTTCTCTCAATCCTACCAAAATACATTACTGTTTCCTTATAGTTTTTCTTCTAGATTTCATTTTAGTCTATTTTTTAAAAGATTTGCACACAATAAATATTTGTATAAGAAATCTACTTAAACTACATAAGTTTGCTTAAATTTACACATGTAAAAAGAACTAAACATACGAAATATGGTGTATATAAGTTGTGCAGTAAGACAATTCCAGTTTTAAACCAGTAAGACTCAGATAAAATATCTACATGAAAAAACTTAATAACTTTTAGTAATTTTAAATAATCTAAAAAAAATCATACAATTGATTAGGGAAATGTAAAGTTGTATAACTTGCTGGTTACTGGGGACACAGTGATGCATTTCAACCTTGACTTAACTTGTATCCTTTTACCATAGGGTTCCCTGGATGATGTTTTCGTGGTTACAACCTATATTCTAAATAACATCTATTCTCTTGCATCTTAAGAGTATCTTATCAACTTTCATAAATTTTGTGTAGTAAGTCAGAATTGAGATTCACTAGTTCATTCATTAAATATTAATTATTGAGAGTAATTAAATATTAATTACAAAGGCACTGTTCTTAGTACAAAAGAGAAAAACCCTTGTCCACCTGAAGCTTATATTATATGGGAGAAGACAGAAATAAACAAGAGCATAATACATAAGCAAATTATATAGTATCTTAGAAGATGAGAAGTGATAATAAAAAGGAGAGCAGGTAGAAAGTGGGAATGTTGGGTTGTAACTGTAAGTAAGGCAGTATAAGACAGAACTCAGTGAGGAGGTGGTCCTGAGCAAACTTGAAGAGTGAAAGGTTAGCCATGGGATATCTGCACATAAAGGACTTCAGGAAGAGGAATTTCTGAATCTTAATGTCTGTGGATATCAAAGACGACATCTATAGTTCTACAAGGTATGTGCACTGGCATCTCTAGGAGTATGATACCAGAATGTTCTAACCACTTTGGGGAATTTTTCCAATGTAATGAGGGTATCAGATACGAGAGGTCTGAGTGCACAAAAAGGTTAAAATATAGAATGACTTCAAAGATAATCACCACCCATCTACAGCCAGTCTTTAGATAACCTCAGGAAATGCAGTAGGGGACAGAGGCCAAGCTCAGTGCTGGTAAGAAAAACTGATTTAGATGAGAATAGCCCAAGAACATTTTAACTTGAAAGTTAAAAATGCATCAATACATGAGGATTCTAAATTTTGTACCTTCAGATCCCGGTGAATTATTGGAGTCTTACACTGATGCAACCTCGCAACAGCTTCACAGGTGTCACAAAATATCTGTAACACTTCTGGTTCCGTAAAACCTGTCTGCAGCTTCTTATTCATTTGATTCACTACCTGCCCGGCTAACCAAAAAAAGTAATTTTGAGAGGACATATTTGTATACATGCAGTCTATCACAAAAAAATTAAGAAATGCATTTATGATCTCAGATACTAGGTAACTGGCTTTTTCATAATTCTCCTGTAAGGATACTCATTACACCATTAAGTACTGATTCAATGAAATACATTTTTTCATATTTTACATCTCTAACTTGAGAACATCTTACATAGATGATGATGTCCTGCTAATGCAATTGCTATGTTTTAACATTTTAACATATCTGAAATCAGGGTGTACCTTATAACCGACAGCATCATAAATTTTTAAAAAGTTTATTTCACACTATACTAATTATTGGGTAAACAATGGTAAACAAAAATAAAGTTGCTATTATCATAGAATTTATAATCTAAAGGCAGAGGTAAACATTAAAGTCACATAAACAAACACATATCATAATTATGTTCAATCCTATATAATAAAAGCCTAATAAGCTAAGTGTCTGGTCATCCAATTGTCAGTTTAGCCAATTAAAGCAAATATGCTAATGATATGCTAAGACCCCCTCAGCCGCTATGACATGCACTGACATCAGAGGGCAGTCGACCAGTCAACCAGTCACTATGACATGTACTGATCACCAGGGGTAGACACTTCGACTAGTAGGTTAGCTTTGATTAAGCGAGATGGGCTGGGCATGCCCTGGAGCCTTCCCGCGGTCCCTTCTTGGCTGCCCAATCTCCTGTGTCCCTCCCTGATCATGAACCAGATCATGCACCAGATGGGACCCTCAGCCTGGCCTGCATCCTCTAGCAATCTGTAACCCCTTGGGGGATGTTGGAAAGCCAGTTTGGGCCCAATCCCACAGGCAAGGCCGAGGGACACCAGTGGTGCACGAATTCGTGCACTGGGCTTCTAATAAGAATAATGAGAGAAACCTATGTTAAATTGATGAAGGAGGATAAGGACGAAAGAGTGCCAGATAAGGGCAATCTAAGGAAGTGATATGTATGTTTAGAATGAAGGTAGGTAGGAATTAACCAGGAAGAGATCTGGAACAAGAGCAGATTAGGGATAGCTAGTGGCAATTACAAAGGCCTCCAGTTTGGGAAAAAACTTAATGACTTTAAGTAGCTTAAAGAAAGGCCAAGTGGGCATGGTCTAAAAAGCAGAGAAGAGGGTAAGGTGAGAAGAGACTCACAAGGCAGAAAGCAATCAGAAAAACTTACATTTAATTTAAGAACCAAAGAAATTTCCTTATCTTACTTTTTTAAAAAGATTTCCTTTTTTGAGGGATAAGAGAATCAAAAGAGTGGAAACAAATAAGAGGCTAATACTCTAAACTAGGTAAAGGATAATGGTCAGAATAATTTGCTAAAATTAAATAGCCACACATAAGTCCTGAGAGAATTATTATATACTATAATATACCACAATAATTGCAGTCCAGTAATGATAATTTTTTTTAAAATATATTTTATTAATTTTGTACAGAGAGGAAGGGAGAGAGACAGAGAGTTAGAAACATCGATGAGAGAGAGTCATCGACCAGCTGCCTCTTGCACACCCCCTACTGGGGATATGCCCGCAACCAAGGTACATGCCCTTGACCGGAATCGAACCCGGGTCCTCCAGTCCCCAAGCCGACGCTCTATCCATTGAGCCAAACCGGTTTCGGCCAGTAATGATAATTCTTAATTAAGAAATTATCATTATATTTTAAGAGCAAAAGTAAATATGTGAACTCAGAAGTCAATCTGATAAAAATCATATTTGGGGCTTTTAAAAAGGCAAGTTTATGTTAACTTGAAACTTTCTTTTAATAAGCTAGAATAAATGAATCCTCCCTACTTTGAAATCTTTAAGAAGGTGCATATACAGCTCTTCCTTTTACTATTACTGTCTCAACAGCATTTTCTTATGTTTTCTGAAATGGTTGTTTCTTTTCTTAGAATTTTAAAGCAAAAAGAACATGAACATTTACCTAATAACCTCCAACTTTCTGAAAACACAAGCCCATTTCCCTGTGAGTTGTTCAGGGTATCATCTAATAAGAGTGAGGCGCCTGACCAGGCAACAATTTTCTTGTCAGACACCCTAACTCATTTTGATCCAAAATTAAACAGGATAAAAAATGTTTTCTAGGTATTCATTCACATTCTTGAAATATCATTTCACCGCTAAAGAAATCAAAATCTTAAACTCATTTCACTTCTTATAAAGGTTCAATGTTGTAATGAGTAGAATGAATTTTAAACAATGTTAATCCTCTTCCTTCCACTGAGAGATATTTGAGCTAATAACCTTGAATGACAAAATTCAGGTCCCAGGTTCGATTCCGGTCAAGGGCATGTACCTTGGTTGCAGGCACATCCCCAGCAGGGGGTGAGCAAGAGGCAACTGATTGATGATTTTCTCTCTCATCGATGTTTCTAACTCTCTATCCCTCTCTCTTCCTCTTTGTAAAAAATAAATAAAATATATTTTTTTTAAAAAAGAAAAGTAAGATTTAACTATATATACTGAAGGTCTTTTAAAACAAGATGCATAGAGCTCTCAAATATTTCCATAGTTTCTAAACTGGTATCATCTAAGCAAAACCCAATATACTCTTGCCAATTTCAGCACTAAAATAAAAAAAGTCAACATTTCCCTCACCTCTCAAAGTAGGCAGCCAACCCTTCCTATCTGATCATACAACAGAGTAAGGCAGAAGTGGAAGTGTGCCAGTCCAAAGCCTAGGCCTTAGAGCCCTCACATCCTCTACCTGCCCTCTTATGTTTCTACGATCGCCAGGGAATAATATTCCCAGGATAGCTTGTTAGTGCCAAGATGATGAGAAATATGTAAAATCAGTCCCATCAAACCCCAGTCAAAATGAGTTGTGTCACCCCACCAAGCTCAATCTAGAACAGCTAGCCAATTGAAACACAAGTAATAATAAATAACTGTTGTTTTATGATATTGAGTTTTGTAATTTTTTTTAATATATTTTATTGATTTTTTACAGAGAGGAAGAGAGAGAGATAGAGAGTTAGAAATATCGATCAGCTGTCTCCTGCACATTCCCCACTAGGGATGTGCCTGAAACAAAGGTATGTGCCCTTGATTGGAATCGAACCTGGGACCTTTCAGTCCACAGGCCAATGCTCTATCCACTGAGCCAAACCGGTTTTAGGTATGATGTTTTGTTATTAAGCAAAAGCTAACAGATTATTATCTATAGAAATTTCTATAAAACATCCCCCCCAAGAAAAAAATCACTTTTCATAAAATAATAAAAATATATTAAATATATATATTAAACTCTGATTCCTCAAAGTTTGGTAACTAAAGCACATAAAACCTCTCTTTACTTAAGAACATTAGCAAATTAAGCAGTGTCATGAACTTGCAGAAATCTAATACTGGACAAAAGATGATTATAAACAGTTGATACTTGAAACCATGGTGGGTTATATAAGCTATTTAACATATTCTTCTACTTTCTATACAGTTTTCTCTCTACATAATGCAAAACACAATGTACCTGAACTATATATATAACACTGACTCCCTCACTAAAGCACCTTCATTCTTAAACAATCTTATGTAAAACAATTAGCTTTTACGGAGGAAATAAAGGAAGAGCATTTTTGTTCACCCATTCTCAGTCCACTGGGAATTTCTCATTTATTCATCTGAGAAAAGGAACTGAGAATACTCTACTCAGATCCTAGAACTTATCAGGTAAAATATTTAGAGAAAACTTGTAACATAATGGAGAGAGTATATTAACAAATAGTAAAAAAAAAAAAAAAAAAGAAAATTGCCAGTAACAAAAGAAAAATAAAAGCTGAAATATCTGTAAAAAAAAATATCTGCACCTAAAAAAAGAGCAAGGTATATTTTAACAAAGAATAACAATATTGAGAGAACAAAAAAAGTTTTTAAAAATTAAAAATAACATGGCAGAAATACAAAATTATACAGAGAAGCTCAAAGAAATATTGAAGGAATGCTCCCAACACAAGAATAAAAAGAAAGACAAGAAAAATCAAAGAGAGAAAATCAGAGAATTAATCAATCTGTGGCAGGAAAATAAGAAGCTAGGAAAATTCCTGGACAAGTGGAATGGGAAACTGAGACAAGAAAATGAAACAAGGCGGGTCGGGTGCAGCCAGGCCCGGAGCAGCGGCTGCCAGGCTGGGAGCAGCCAGGCCCGGGGGAGCAGCCGGGGCTGGTGCGGCCAGGCCCGGAGCAGCGGCTGCCAGGCTGGGAGCGGCCAGGCCCGGGGGAGCAGCCGGGGCTGGTGCGGTCAGGCCCGGAGCAGCGGCTGCCAGGCTGGGAGCGGCCAGGCCCGGGGGAGCAGCCGGGTTGGGAGTGGCCAGGCCCGGAGCAGCGGCTGCCAAGCTGGGAGCGGCCAGGCCCGGGGGAGCAGGCGGGTCGGGTGCGGCCAGGCCCGGAGCAGCGGCTGCCAGGCTGGGAGCAGCCAGGCCCAGGGGAGCAGGCGGGTCAGGTGCAGCCAGGCCCGGAGCAGTGGCTGCCAGGCTGGGAGTGGCCAGGCCCGGGGGAGCAGCCGGGTCGGGTGCGGCCAGGCCCGGAGCAGCGGCTGCCAGGCTGGGAGCGGCCAGGCCCGGAGCAGCAGCAGCCAAGTCCAGAGCAACTAGGTTGGGAGCGGCAGTGACCAGACCCGGAGCAGCTGGTTGTGGAACGAACCAGAGCAACAGAGGCCAGGCCCTGAGCAGCCAGGCCCGGAACAGCTCGCTCCTCGCCTGCCCCTGCCCCAAGGCTGCTTCTCAGACATGGCTGGAAACTTTCGTGGGAACTTGAGGGTCTGCTGAATCAAGTGATGAAGGCTTAGATCTGGATGTGTTGAGTTAGTATAGGGCTGGGGTGTTGATCTGTGAGTGCCTTGGGTGGGGCCCGGATGAGGCTGGTGGACCTATTGGGAAATGTCTTTTGTGTGAAGTGTATCATTGGGCATGTGGAGGTATTATTGATTTGAGAAAATGCTAAGTAACTGATTTACTATCTGAAA